CTTTTGGCCTCTGACTTCAAGTTCGGCAATCAGCTGGTTCATTTCAGATTCAAATCCCTTGAACATGATATTTTTCTCACCTTCAAATTTATCAAAGATGTCATTCTTCATTTCCTCTAAATCTTTGGCTCGATCCCTTTCTCTTTGCATTTCATTCATGATCTCGCGATGTTCAGCTTTGTGTTTTATAATTCGCTCTCTTCTATCAACCTCAAAATCTTCCATTTTTTGCTTTCCTTTCTCAAGTCTTTTGAGTAGACGACTATTCTTTCCTTTCAGATCTTCAACTAAACTTTTTTCAATGTTCAATTCTCTGGTCATCTATACTATTGATCGGCTTGGTCCTGATGCTTTCCGGGATTTATATAACTCCTGGTAATTTTTCTTTAATGCTCTAAATTCACCATCAACTTTTTCTTTGTTTTCTCTCAACATTGCACATTATGATGAATGAAAGTCAATGTCAACACCCAACATAGCTTTATCTCGTCTCATTTGCTCTAATTCTTTCGACCAGCCTTCTCTTTCTGCTTCAAACTCAACTCTCAGAATTTCAATCTCTGATAGAACCACCTTAATACGATCTTCTATAGAGATATCCTCAGTTTGGTCTGGTAGAGGAATATTTTCATTTTTCCTGACAGATCTCCATTCCTCATAATCAGGAGTTAACATTTCTTTTGCTGCTTTAGCTTGGATACAAAAAGTTGTTTTCCAAGCTGTAAAGGCTTCCATGATATTTCTTTATAATTTTTGCTGTGGAATGCGAACTCAGATGAATGTAATCCAGCAGTGACAGGTACAAATTGACGACCTTCGTACTGTCTTATGACCAGAAGTGGTGCATATCCAATTCCTCTCCACAATCCAAGCAGCATTATCCAATTGTAATCACCACATTTGTAAAATAATTCTCTTTGGATTTGCCATGGGGCTCGCCAAACAATGTCATTGCTTTGCAGATTTTGAAAGGCATTAATCCACATATCTTTCTTAATTTCTTTCGGCCATTCTTGCTCCAGAAATTCTTTTAATGGTGAGTAATCCGTATTAAAGCACCGGTATGAAACCTTTTCTGTCCTCCAGAAATGGTTACGGATCCAAACATATAACAATTGGGTACACCCTGAGAATCGTCCACCTCCTAGCTTTCTACAAGCATTTAACGATCTGAAAGTCTCTGCTAGAATTGCAGAAGCAGGATTAATCTTTTTTGGTAGCTGCTCAAACAAATCTACTACTGCAGCTTCAATAGATCCCAATACTTTTGGGAAGATGACCATACCATACATACCCAGAGCAAATAGATCGAATCGTACTTTAGTGTCTGGATGACTCTGAATAAGTTCTTTAATGTTAGTCCAAGCAATGCCTTCGCTTTCGCCTTTTTGTTTTGTACGGGATGCCACCCATTCTTCTCGTACTCCGGCAATCTTTGCTAATTTAACTCGAAAGGGTTGAGTTTTAATTGACTTTGAATAAATTTGATTCTCCAAAGCCCCTTCTATTGTACTCTTCAATAGTAGGGACCAAGTCCTCCTTATTGAGAGTGAAGCAATTGTACCCTGGATTCCAGAATTGAATTAGGGCTCGAAGTAAGTCATCATCAACTTCGACATAGAGCAAATATGGGATGTCTCCGTAATTCTGATAAAACTGTAATTTTTTGTTTGAGTCCCAACTTTACCAAATGCTTCGCAAATCTTGCATGTCATTTCTTTTTAGCGAAACTGGAGCATAACTGACCAAGTCCGATACATAGTCATCTTGCAGACTGTCTCCTCCTTGTCTTTGTAAGTCCTCAGCGCACTGTCTTACTTCTGAGTTTAGAATTATTTGATTTGAACACTTTTTATCCATGAATGAAGGCTTTCCAATGAGACAATTAACACGAGGATCAATGCCTTTTATCCTGTATGATGCTATGCAAATAGAAGAAATAAAGAACACACAAAAAGAAATGAATTAGTTTACATAATAAAGAAATTTAATAATAATATCTACCTAAATATCCTTATTTAAACATGTTTTTTTTCATAATTTAAATAATTTAAATTCACATGTAATTTAATCAGTAAGAAAATAAATAAATAAATTAAAAGGAAAGTTAGAATTCATTTCTCTTTGTGTGTACACCTATTTTGGACAAAATTTCGACATGGCTTCAGATCGGAAGAGTTTCTAGGGTTTATTATATGCAGGGTTTCAGGTCTAAGAATAAAGGTACCCGAACTGTCCTTGTTGATGCCCCCTTGGGCTATCAAACCCTCAATCCTAGTCCATTACAGACTTTAAACGGATCGAGTTCAATTCGAGGGGACACATTTCTCTATGCCTGACACGGAGAATAAATTCTCACGAAGACATAGAGTATATGAACCCCGAAAGTTACTTGCTAGGTCTGACACGGAGAATAAATTCTCACGAAGACGTCGCTTTCACTCCCACTTAAAAGGGACAAACTCAATTATAGAGCTTTATGTTATGCAATGCAAGTGTTGTGTGTGAGGAGAAATGTTCAAACCTTTAACAGAAAAATAAATAATGAAATAAAATACTTGCAAATAAAATGAAATATTAATAAGAAAATATATAAATACTATGAAAATAATAAGTATATAAAAAAATTTTGAAAAGAAAGAATTATAAATCAAATATATGAATTTTTAATTTATAATTAATAGAGACAATTTATAATTAATTTTAAAAGTTTGACCAGTCCCCAGCAGAGTCGCCAAGCTGTCGTAACCGGTTTTTGTCCGGGCACGAAATATTTATTTGGCGGGAAACGTGATATGAATAAATGGTTTTGAAAATAATTTGAGAGTCGCCATCGGCCTTTTGGGTCAGGTAGGTCGAATGCCTAAAAAAAATCTTTTAAAATAATTTTTAAGAAAATATCAATTAAAAGATAAACTGATCTGCGTTTTAACCAAAAATTCATTCTTTTTAATAATAAAAAAGGATTCGTGGTTTGTTACATTTAGGGAAGGATTAGCACCCTACAACGCCCAAAATTGGTACTTTTTAATTATAAATTGTCTCTATTATTAAAAATTCAAAATATATTTAATTTATAATCATATTATTTCAAAATTATAATTATGAGAAAAAATATAATTTATATATATTTATAAATAAAATATTTATTTAGTTAGAAATATCAGAAAAGGACTTCTAGGTGCCTTAAGACAGCTCTTTTCTTCGATATTAATAAATATTAATATCATAATTTAAATAAAACTAAATTATAATTTTTTTATAATATTTAATTTTAAAATACCAGAATAGGACATCCAGTTGTATTAAGACTGCCATTTTCTTCGATATTGAAAAATAAATAAATAAATATTAAAATAATTTATGTAAAAAATATATAAATATTATTTATTATATATATATTTATATGACTATATAATAATAATAAAAATAATATTTAAATATATAAACAAGTAAAATTAAAACAATAAAAATACAATTAGAACTATATATTTAAAAGCAGTAAAATAAATGAAAATATTTAAAATTAGTGTCTAAATTATAATAAAATTAAAATTAAATACCTAATTCATAATTATTTGAAAATTATAGGGATTAAACATGCCATTTTCCTTATTTATTAATTTGGTGATTAAAATAAAATTATATAAAATTCGAATATCAGATTAAAATAAATTAAAAATATATATTCAGGATTAAAATATTATTTATTAAAACTAAAGGACTAAATACGTATTTTATCTAAAATATTTATAATTACGGTTAAGGGCTAAAATATAAATAAATAAAATTGAGAGACCAAATTAAAAGGATTATAAATTTGATTTAGTGACTAAAATGTAAAAATTACAAGTTAAGGGACTGCGGACGTGATTTAACCCTTAGTTAATTACACAAATAGCCCTCCCCGAAACGACGTCGTTCGGGAAGAGCTATTTAAAGCCCGAAACCGGCTGGCCCGAAGGGCCAGCTCTCATTTCCTTTCTTTCCTCTCTCTCTATCTTCTGAGAGAATTCAAAATTCTCTCTCGCTTCTGTCTAAAACAGAGAGAAGCACACCGGCCGGCAGCCGTTCGCCGGCGTTGACCCCGCCGTCGGCCACTGCCTTCGGTGGCCGGAATTTTTTTTTACACTAAAACGTAGATTTTTGAAGCAAATCTAAGAAAGTACCTTCGATTTTCGAAGGTTTTGGTGACGTTTGAAGAGGTCCGGCGGTCGTGGCTTCCTCGGTAAGCTTCTATCCCTTCTTTTCTTTTGTTTTTGGTTGCTGTGTTGTGGGTTTTTTTTTTGTTCTCCGTTCTTCCTCTCCTTTTTTTTTTATTGGCAGGGGGCTCGGTGGCTTTTATAGCCACCACCGGTGATGGCTTCGGACCAGTCCAAAAGGGGTTCTTTGGTGAGTCACCGGACTTCCAGTGGTGACTCACCGTTTGGGGGAGACGTGTGCGGTTGGAGTGGCTCTTCTGGAAGCCTTCGACGAAACGTGGCAGCGGTGGAGATGGTGGGAGCAGCTGTGGCGGCCGCGTGGCCCTAGGGTATCATACCCTAGGGTTTGCATCTGGAGGAGTGTGGGCCGTTGGATCTCTTAGATCCAACGGCTGAGATTGAGGCGGCGGCTAGAGCTAGGGTTTAGAAACCCTAGCTGAAACTACAAATGTTTAGGGTTTCCTTTTGGGTTTGGGCCGGTTCTGGTTGGGCCTGGGATTTGGGCTTGTAACTATTATTTTTTTTTAATAATAATAATAATAATAATAATAATAATAATAATATATTATAATAATAATAATTATAATAATAAAATAAAAATGGGTAAAAAAGTTAGTATCTTCACCTTTAAATTTCAGTTAGGGTTTCGTTTTCCATCCGTATGTCATCTCATTTTCAGAGAAAAAACAGGAGACCAACGTTGCTTTAGTCGTGGTAACCCTATCTATTCTTACCTTTTGGTATTTATTAATTTTATCTTGCGTTTTACTTTACAATCTTTATTTTCTGTTCTTATTCGATAGGGCAAGGCTGGAAAATAGGATATTGTTTCTCATGGTTTAGACGAATTTCCATCCTCTGTTCTGCTCTTTCTGGCATTGATCATTCAAGGTAACTTCGAAATTGTTTCCTTTTTTTCGTTTCTGATGAAATCCCAGTTTTTCAATCGATCATTTCCCATTAATTTGATGGAAACCTGCGGTTTTTTAGATAACCTTTTGTTAATTTTGTCTGATCAATCCAGTTTTTTGTTGGGTTGCCATCAAAGGTTCGGACATTTTGAGTTATGGAAATTTCCATATGTATATTGTAGTGTATCTGCTACTTTGTAAGATGGTTAGCTAAGCAAACATTAATCATAAGATGGTGATTCACTCATTTTAGTCATTCTCTATCTTTATAATGAATGAGGATTTGCATCTTTTCCATAGGTTTGTCTTTTGTTTTAAGCAATGTCCTTCCACTTTTTTGATCACATAAGTTGAATTTTTTATGTCGTAGGAGGACGGACCGAATGATCGCAAGATCGAAAAACTGTGTGAATATGTTTCGAAAAATCCTTTACGCATCCCAAAGGTATAATATGTTTGTAACCCCAAGTATATGCTTTTGTTGTGTTAATATTGCTTTCAAAATCTTACTGTTTTTATAACCAGTTGTTGCACATTTTTTGAGAAGATCACTGATTCCCTTGAGCAAAGGTTCTACAAGGAGTTGAGAAATGAGAATTTTCAGTCGGTGAAAATCATCGTTTGCATTTACAAGAAGTTGTTGCTCTCTTGTCCGGACCAACTGTGAGTTTTTCTGTTGCAAACTCTACGGAATATCTAGACCATTGCATCATGGGATCTTCCGTTTTTATGTTGTCATTTCCTTATCCAAGTGATTTTGACATTCCATTTTTAACCACTGTTATAATGAAAACAAGTAACATCAATTGTCCAAATTCCTATATAATATGTATTTTATAGTACTGTTCTTAGATGAGATTGTAAGTCCAGTTCAACGAGGAAAGTACTCTTCATGCAGTAATGAAAAGGCCTCCTCTTATCAGTATGATACTCTTATTGCTGAAACTTGTTATATCTTTATGGATTCTTCCCTGTAATTACCGAGTTCGGACCAGCATTTGAGAATATCTCAGTTGAACGTGCTGAAAGAAAATTTAATTGTCTTTCTACTTTTAGTGTTCCCTTGAACTCACTTGATTTCTGGTTATCAATCAATCCTTTTGTTATAGGACACTATTTGCTACTAGTTTACAGAGCATTATACAGACTCTACTGGATCAATCACGGCAGTATGAGATGCAAATTCTAGGATGTCTCTTTTCGACTTTGTAATTAGTCAGGTTGGTACTTTTAGCTTTACTTGTTACTTTGATTAGTTATTAGGCTTGTGGAAACAAGCTTCAAACTCAGTTTTATCTTACCAAATTCTGCAGAAGGATGGTACTTTTATGTCGAACTTAGAAGGCTTTATTCCGAAATTTTGTCAGTTATCTCAAGAAATCGGCGAAGATGAAAGGGAGACAAATCTACGTTCAGTTGGCCTGCAAGCAATTTCTTCACTGGTACATCTTTCTCACTGTCCAAATTGTATATATATAAGTACTCTTACATACGTTCGATTTTCTGTCTTCTGGTGTAGATTTGGTTAATGGCTGAACACTCACATATTTCAGTGGAATTTTATCATGTAAGTTGACTCAGAGTTTTTAAAATACACTAGCAAGTTTATCTTAGTTTAGGGAATGTTGTTTAGTACCATTTTGCATTGAAGGGTTTTCAATTATCAACCCACAGATTGTTTCAGTTGTCTTGGAAAACTATGGAGTCCCAAAGAAAAATTTAGAGGACCTATGTTGGCCAAAACTCGATGGGTGCAAGAAGTGCAAAGAACGGAGAGTCGTGTCACTCCGTCAAATTAAATTTGCTGCTGATCAGTATCTTCTTGATGATCTTAAGCGCATTTGTGAATACAGCATTGCTCAGGTGTGTATGTTTTACTGTGATATTTCTTCTACTGATCATATTACGGATTTACATGCTTATATGTTCTAATTATCCGTTTTTAAAGGATTTTTTTAGGAGAATGTTATGCTGATGTAATGACTCTGTTTACTGCTGCTTTTTCTTTGGGTTAATTCCATGAACAGTGCCTTTTCAATTGGCTGATATCCCTTATTTCTTTTCAGGGATGACTTTAGGAAATCTTATAAGGAAGCGAATCCAAATGCAAAGGGTGTTATAGGGGTACTCATTTCTCACTTGCTCGGAATAGTTTTAATTATTGTTTCCCCCCAAATTGTTTGTTAAACGTTTCATTAATGAAATTTAGGTTGCAAAGGAAGGTGGTGAGAAATGAAAATTCATGTCTGATGAGGTGAGTTGTTGTTATTCAATTATTTTAATTACAACTTGTTTTTTTATATATAAATTATATATGTATTAACTATATAAAATATATAGTTTATAAATTATAATTTATATTAATATAGTATATATATGTATGTATAATTGTTGGTCATCGTATTCCCTTTGGTTTTACCGCTGATTGCATGTTTGTATGCAGAAATGTTGCCTGCTGATGCCTGTTGTTGTCTTGTAATTTATTTTGTTGGTCTGACTTAAATATATTGTTGAAACTGTCATTTTTTTTCTGAAATAGTTACTCATGTTAAGTTATGTTGGTAGCTTTAAAAGTTACCCGTAATTTAACAATGTTGGCAGCTATTTCGATATAAAAGCTCGATGAAGAAATTTCTGGTAACAAAGTTAGGCTTTTAGCCTTCTCACATTTTTGTTATAAGATCTGAGAGCTTAATTTTTTTTAATTTTTTCTCATTTTATTGTATTTAATTTGAATTGACTCAAATGTTATTCAAATTTTATATTAAATGTTATTTAAATTATCATTATCAATTAAATTTATATTTTATATTATTTTTCATTTATGTTATATTTGTTAGATAATTTTTTGTACAAAAATTAAATGATATAGTTTATATTTATATTTTAGAGAATTAATCACTTTCAATACTAATATTCATTTATTATCATTTTATTGGCAAAATTATTTATATTAATAATGTAAACCATTAATATATATTACATAATAAATACTTTCATTATTAATATTATTTTTTCTTTATATAAATTAAACTATATAATTTATATAAATTAAATTATATTAATTTTCTTTTGCATTATTAATAATGTTTTATCTAATTTACATTTAAATAATTTTATTAATTTTATTAAATAATTTTATATAATAGGTCTATTTATTAATTTAATTATCATAATAAATATTTTATTATAACATTTAAAAAGTAATCATATTAATTTTTTAATTACATCATAAGCTAAAAACTCGTATTTTTATTAAAATCTTATAATTTTGCCATGGTAATATATATGTAAGTTAAATATCTGATCATTTCATTAACAAGTCGGATCATTTACAGGTCAGGTTAAAAATAGGCCAGGTTAAAAACATGCCAGGTTCATAACATGTCAGGTTGAAAACAAGTCGGGTAATACCAGTTATTTATTAGGTTAATCTCGAGTTTAGGTTCATATCAGTCGAATGAAGTTCAGGTTTGGGTATCATATTTTTGGTTCAATTCGGGTTTAGGTCGTTCTTAGGTCGGATGTAAGTCGGGTTCGGATTCACAATTTTCAGGTCCAAATCAAGTTTAGGTCAACACTAGTTCTGACTCGAGTCGGTTTCGGATCGCCACATTACAGGTCAAAAATAGTTTTGATTCATGTCAGTTTCAGTCGGTTTTACAAGTCGGGTAAACTTTTTACAACCCTAATTAAGTGTGAAGGATATAGGTTGTTTTAAAAAAGAGAATCATTGGTTCGTGACAACTCTTGTTCCCCTATTTTTTTAGTGTTCTGGGCCATAATATATATATTTATAATAAAAATATAGTCAGGATATATATAATATATAGTACAATACCCTTTCTTTTATTTTCGATTGTTGGAATGGAGGGGGCATATAGAAAAAGAAGCATCGAAGGGGTCATCTTGGGTTACTGAAGAGTCATCCAACTGCTCAGTGACCGAAAAAGAGAGGTTTTTTACCACTTTCTCTTCTTTCCACCATTCTCGAACTAATCATCTTGCTGCAACAAAGCAAGTAACATAATGAATCTAATAGAAATTTAGATCTCTATCTGCTTGGAAGATTTTTCTTTCCTTCTTCGGTGAAAGAGGGCAAAGGTGTGTGGGGGCTAAAAGGGGAGAATATCTCGTCCACCAAGCAGGCATAGAGTGCGATCCCTAAGCAATTGGAGGTTCTCGCTCATATCTTAGGGTTCCATATCATTTGAGAACTTGTCATATTCCATTAGCATAGCTAAATTTGAATAGGATGACTCAGTGTTAGAAAAAGTAACCCCCTTTGCCTAGATTGAATTTGGCTTCGTTGCGCCCTGTAATAATAAAAAAGCTTATTGATTTATCCCATTTTATTTGGGTTAGATTGAGGTTATGAGTCATCTGGGTTACGGATTTTTCGGTTGGTTGATTCTCTAAATAATCTCTTGATAAAAAAGGCCCTCAGGTCTTGACCCACAAATGAATAGGAAGTGAGGCGATGATCTTTCATTAAAAGGGGAAAGAGGGGTGGGCTTTGTTTTGGGGGTTACCTTTCGCAGCTTTAGAAATGAGAGAATTGTTGAAAGTCACTCTCTCCAACCTTTTCTATTTATCTTTAGAAGTAGGACGAGAGAAAGACAATATGATATTTATGTTGGTTTTTCCAACTAAACTACACTTTTTTTTTGTTTTTTTTATTCGAAAGGCTCAGTCCCACACTCCGACTTTAATGATGGAAACAACCTCTGTACTCCGACGTTCCAATGAACAACAGTTCCACGCCTTATTATATTTAGAATAATGGTCGATCCCTGGGGAATTACATTCGTAACTTAATGTTATGTTCACAAAATGATTCCAAAAGTACTACCCTATTTGTAGTCTATGTCTAGGGAGCATACTTGACAGGAGATAGACACAGGCGGTAGATAGGTCCCCCACTTTGATTCATGCCCCGTTTTCATCTCTGATTCGAGATAAATTATTACTCTGTTAGGTCCTTTTAATCCAAAGCCGAGTGGTAATTGACCTACTTTCCTTGTGGATTAGTTGCAGAGTTAACCCTTGTTCTATTGGTTTAGTGGTTGCTACCATGATGTTTTATTTATGCCTGTGAAAGGACCTCAAGATACTAATCAATGAAAAATGATTCGAGAAATTTGAAAGACTTCATATACTAAACAAGGGTGACCCATGGAAATACATCAATTTTTTACTCGTGCAAAGGAACTATTTCTTGGCAACTTGGATAACTTATAATGATGTTTGTCCCGTATATCACTAGGAAGATCGGGATCTTTACAAAAGGCTTTATAAAGCTTTCGTCTTAATTCATATTTAGCTGCGAGTAATCTACGTTTGTGATCTCGTATATTTCGTTTCTCCGACATCTTACTAAGTTTCCCCTTTATCATTTTGCAAAAAGCCACTCCACTGTGGTTTTGTCTCATTGTCTATCTCGTAATCATTCAATTACATCCGAATTAGCTTGTAACACCCCCAATCCGTATCTGACCGGATACAAATCCGAGGTGTCACACTGACTTTTCAAATCGTTTACTTTTAAAAGATAGTTGAAATTTAAACTTTTATTTATACAAAAACGTGGAATCACTTTAGTCAAAGTATATAAAGAAAATTCAAACTCCAACTGAAAACAAAAGACTTAATAATTTACATAAATACACTAAAGTTCGTTTACAAAACTGATCATAGTATATACGATTGAACCTTTAGTTACATGACAACCATATTTAATACACCAAAACACATACTATTAAATATTTTTTGTTCTGATCTTCGGAAGGATTATGCTGTCTTGACTCCTAACTTTAATATTCTTGCTTCTCTAAACCTACGTGTGAAACAATCACACGCTAGGTCATTGACTTAGTGAGGCATATAAAATGTGTAATAAAACATTACATCACTTAATCATATTCTAAGCATTTCACACAATCATGTAAAGAAAATATGAAATACATCATATAACGAAAGCACATATATGCACACATGTATATATATATATATATATATATATCATCATCGTCATCATCATTAATATCCTTATCCTTATCACTATCATTATTGTTATCGTTGTTCATTTATATCTTTTCTTTTAATAACCCATAGTACATCATTAAGAACTTAAGGTATGTGAGTGCATTGAGGTTGTGCACAAATACTGTCACCACAGCTTGTATAAATTGCACTGAAGTGCCGCATAGAAATTGCAGCAAAGTGCAACATAAAAATGTCCCGAAAGACCATATTGTATTGTCCCGAAGGACCGCGTAGAAATGTCCCGAAGGACCACGTAGAATTGTTCTGAAGGACCGTGTAGAACCCTCGACTCTTGACATGCCAATTATACCTTCAGCTCTCATATCACATATTATGGGCTTTACCATTTATATACCATTTCATATAGCATATCACATAGACATGTATTCACATATACCGTTTTCACATTTCACATATTCATATAATCGCGTAATTCAATATCACAGACATATAAGCACATAGATCCTTATCACATAGCTTATATCACATGTTTATATAATCGCTTAGGTTAATAACACAGTTTATATCATATTCTCATGTAATCACATAGATCATATAACACTAAGATCAGGGTCACATAACATATATCACATTTTCATGTATCGCCAAGTAAATGTCACATAGCTTATTTTACCTTTTCATGTAATGACATAGACCAAATAGAACAGTGCGTATAACACAAACTTATGCTTGTATTCATGTACACATAGAAATAATATCACAACATACTAGTATTCATAAATCATGAAATGCAAATATGTTAAAAATTTTACTTATAATATGCAGAAAAAGGTGATTTATATAGTACTTTCAAGGAAGTAGCCTAGACCGACAGGAAACGAATGCCTTACAACCACTAGAAAAAACTCTATTCCAATAACTCAGAAGAGGAATCAAGGGTGAAACACTACAAATGCTTATGATAGTTAACTAATAAGCATACTTTTGATAGTTGTATGAGACTGATGGATTGGCTAAGGCTGATACAAAGACTCCTACAAGGATAGCAAGAAAACTAGGATTGTTTGGAGGGGCTTACCCTACGACTGCTAGTTTTTACCTTTTACTTGCTTGAAGGAGATTTAAAAGGCTTCATTCCATAAAAAGAAAGACAAAGGAGTGAGTCTATCTTATATACGATAATTTTCCTGCTTGTTTACCTTAATCCAGGAAAGGAATTTACTCCCATTAAAGTAGTATTTTGATTCCTGGGAATCTTGCTTGCTCTTAGAGTTCAGACTTCAATTCTTGCTTCGAATGCTTTAGTCCGAATGAACTTATAGCTAGACACGAGCGTTAAGCAGGAAAGTTACTTATACCTTTTCCAAGAAGAATCATAATAAATCTTAATTTCCTTCTCATAAAGATTGAATCTATTCCTCATAATCTTCATTCTTTCCTTAGCTAATACTGATTGATTCACTGCATCTTCTCGTTCATTACATTAGGAGATCTGAGAAAGCACTCGAAGTGCAAGACTGACTAATTCAAGTAAATAAAAAGCCAAACCTTAGAGTTTGTTATTACCTATTCCTTGTAACTTTAAGTCATTTTCTAGGCTTTCTTTAAGCAAAGAGAAGGCCCTGGAAAAATTTTCTCTATTCTCCCTCGGATCACTAAAACACCCTTTGTCTCGTGATCTAGTCAATCAATGATCTTAAACCACAGAGAAATCAAGTTGCATTTGGCATACCAAAGCAAGGTAAGCTATTTATTTCCCAAAGCCTACTAAACAAAAGCTTCATGCCTGATCGTAACGTAGCCAAGCAAAAGCTGAATGTTTGTTGCTTAGGCATGCAAGAATATAAACCTATGTTGCTCAAACTTCATTTTTCATGAATTATTTGTGTTTTGACACTCTTGTCCGAAATTTGGATATAATATCTAAGGATCATCCAAATATATGAAAAACCTTATAAAAATCTAACTATATCAATGTTTGATACATACTTGTGTCTGACACACCTAAGTCCAAGTAACAAACTATTATATCTTGAAAACACATATCGATTCACTCATTCAAAACTACAAATTGAAAACCCATAAAACAATTAGCCTTCTAACGTGACAGATCTCGAGGTACTATTTTTGCACACTAAAATCAAATCCACCCACATTACGATATCTTATTAATGGTGATTAAATTTGATAAATTCAAATTCTAAAACAAGGTACTTTAGCCCTGGGGGAGAACATCAATTATTTGATATCCATATAATGCATCTGTCATGTTAATTTTGTACCATATTTATTTACATATGGTTTTGCAGTAATAGAAAATATACTTTTTTTGGTTTTCAATCTTCCCAATCATTCTCATAGGAGATACAAACCATTTTTTCCTGATCCTTAAATAAAAAGGTCAAATTTCTTAAGTAGAAATAAAAAATATAAAGTAGAACCAATATATATTTCTTTTTTGATTCATCCTTTAAGTATAATACACCATTCGAGAATTATTTCTAATTCAATCTGTATGAATCAATAGAAAGGTGGATTAAAGTTCAAACCTTTTTTTCCTTTATTGTTGAAGCTCCACCCTCCCCTGACGCAATTGTTTAAGGTACTCGTTCTCACCCTGATCAAGAATCAAAAGCTTAGACGGTATAATTATGGAATAAGTTTCAGGTATCGGTAACACAAGTTTATAACTTACCCGAGTAAGTGTCTTCTCTCGTGCTTTTAGAATGGTATCGACAAATTTTTTCTTTAACAAAGAAGCCCGAAAGAGTTTCTCAGGAGATATATGTATCTAAACTGGAGCAATGTCTCTTATATTTTTAGTAGAACAAACAATGAGGCACAATTTAAACCAAAACACATATTTTCCTTCCATAAACTTTATTAATCTTACCATCTTAACAACCATCTGACTCAGGAGATGATAGCGGTAAACCCTAGTGGGTCATTGTGCAACTGTGAGTTGTGCAGGTAGTAAACATTTGATAAAGATTCCAGGGGTTATGTTCCCGGTGAACCTGATGAAATTATCATTTGATGAGTTAAGATCATATTGGGTATAGGTTATTTGTCTCCAAAGACGATGAATTCAGAAAAATGCAGAGGGTATGGAAATTATAGTTTTTGGATAGAAAGTAAAATCATCGCTCAAGGTGATATCGATAATGATTGTGAAGAAAATGATGTTATATATATATATATATATATATATATATATATATATATATATATATATATATATATATATAACTTTTTTGGCTAATGTGATAGATACTCAAATAATTAAAGTAGAATTGTCTGATAATTTCATAAAATTGTGAATTTATAGATGTCTTTTCAGATAAATTTATTGGGTTACCTCCAGATCGAGAGGTGGAATTCAAAGTTGATGGTTATTAAGGTATTGAACATGTTTCTCTAATTTAGTATCAAATGACTTAAGCGAGTCAAGAGAATTAGAGGCTCAATTACAAGTGTGGATTGATCAAGGTTTTATCAATCCAAGTATTTTATCTTGGGGAGTATTTGTCTTATTAGTGAAAAGAAAGATAAATCTATGTGGTTATGCATGGATTTTTGACAGTTAAATAAGATTATTCGAGAGAATAAGTTGTATGTCAAACTATCCAAATGTGAAATTCTGGTTAGCAGAGATGGCTTTCTTTGGCCAGGTTGTTTCGACATAAGGTATAAGAGTATATCCTAAGTAAAACTCATGTTGTAGTAAATTGGAAACTCCCAAAGAATGATCCTGAAGTTCGGATTTCTTTGGAGGCTTGCTGGTTACTATCGAAGGTTAGTGAGAACTTTTCGATGTTAGCTTTACTGCTAACCAAGATTTTAAAGAAAGATGTGTCTTTTAAAGAAAAATTAATAATAGTACTTTTGAGTATTGTTAAAGTATAAATGTTAGGGAATATACTAACAATTGGTATGGTATGTGCCTTTACAGGATGTTTGAGTAGATCGAAATTAAGCTCCTGAGTCAAGCAAGAAAAAGGGCAATGACAAAGTTGTCGAGTAGTTCGATATCACTACAACACATCAGGTGAGTGCATATATGGTAACTATATTGGTTAAGGGAGAATCACAATAAATTCACCTCAATTGTTTAAATTAATGTATGTTTTGCCTTATATGATATATGTTTATAATGTGTATAGAATTTATACTATGAATAATCTTTAGGGTATAAAATGTTTTAAAATAAAAGATTAATTGTCTAGCTGTGCATTTGACAGAAAGGTGTCAATCATGCTAGTTAGATGGAAGGTTAAATATCTTTGAGTAAAAGATTAATTGTCTAGTTGTGCATTTGACAGAAAGGTGTCAATCATGCCAGTTAGATGAAAGGTTAAATATCTTTGAGTAAAAGATTAATTGCCTAGTTGTGCATTTAATAAAAATGTGTCAATCATGCCAGTTAGATGAAATGTTAAATACCTTTGAGTAACATATTAATTGCCTAGCTGTGCATTTAACAAATATGTGTCAATCATGCCAGTTAGATGAAAGGTTAAATACCTTTGAGTAAAGATTAATTGCCTAGCTGTGCATTTGACAGAAAGGTGTCGATCATGCCAGTTAAATGAAAGGTTAAATACATTTGAGTAAAAGATTAATTGCCTAGCTGTGCATTTGACATAAATGTGTCAATCATGCCAGTTAGATGAAAGGTTAAATACCTTTGAGTAAAAGATTAATTGCCTAGCTGTGCATTTTACAGAAATGTGTCAATCATGCCAGTTAGATGAAAGGTTAAATACCTTTGAGTAAAAGATTAATTGCCTAGTTGTGCATTTGACAGAAATGTGTCAATCATGCCAGTTAGATGAAAGGTTAAATACCTTTGAGTAAAAGATTAATTGCCTAACTGTGTTTTTTGGCAGAAAGGTGTCATTAATGGAAGTTAGATGTATAACGGTACACTCTTGGCAGAAAGGTGCCACTAATGCAGGTTAGATGAGGAACAGTGCATAGTTGGCATGAAAGGATGTCACAAATGAAAATACATAACGATGTATTAATAGGATATAAGGTGTCGCTCAAGATAATTATAAAAGATAAAAGACAATTTGGCACTTTGGTGCAATACATGTACATTATTTTCTCATTTAACGTACATAGAGCAAATAAAGAATAATTGGGAAAGTATAAAGAATGATAAATATGCTGGGTCTACTGAGAATTAATTTTATGATTGTATGAAAGAAATATGGTTTAATTGAGAATGATTTATCTGATCTTAATGGAGTATGCGATTAAATTCGTCTTTAAATAGTCATGAGATACTTATGCATAAATTGCAATTTTTTACGATATTATATCTCACTGAGTAAATACTTAATGTGTGTTGATTTTACACGTAGGTAAAAGTAAAGACTAGCCGGGTAAGGGGTACAGTAGCAACTATCATCAATCTAAGGATGACTCTCATAAATAACAGTAGAACAATCCTGTTTATTTTGAAAATTGTTGGCATGTAATCAAATATTTAGAAAAATGCTTTGGAATGTATTTAAAGTGATAATTTCGGTAATATGTTTCAACGACTGTTTTATTGTTGTACTAAAATGTTTTGTTTTAAATTTCGAAACAAAATTTTTTATTTCTTTTACATATGGGTGAAAGTTTTTAAAATTCATATGACACCTATGACTTATGTACGGAAACGTCTACAGAAAATGGATGTACAAACACACTAACACATTCTGCAAGAGAACATGGATTAATAAACCTTACATGTAAGGAAGCATTTCCAATTTCATGGCTTTTCCAGTAAAGCAAGAATAGAAGTACAAGAATATTCCTAGTGCTATCAAGATGGTTTTCAACACACATCTTTTCATCCAATTGAGCCCCAGAATCTGCAGCTTACAATACCTGAAGGATAGTACAAAGTAAAATGCTACTTGAAAAGAAACTCAACCCACCTTAAACTACAAGAGAAAAATTTGAAGTGGACCAAACATAAACACATACAAATAGAACCATAACAGACTTTCATCGCTTCCACTAGATTTGCAGCTTTAGCACCATTGGGTTCAATGCCAGACAAACAACCAGTCGCTGAACCTGCAAAGAATACAAAAGAAGTCAATCATGGAAATGGCACCTAGAAAACACCAGACAAGCTTGCAATGAATAAATTTTGGGGGGAAATTAGTAAACAAAAGGAGAAACCAAGGAAACCAACTTGAATTATACTAGAAAAACATTAAGAAAAGAGAAGTGAATAGGCAGGGGCAATTATATTACAGAGCTGGTCGTCAAAAAGAATTTTATACCAAGTTTATTTATCTCCCACAGTTTTAGAACAAGCATCCAAAGGAACAAAATTAGAAGGTATTGCAATGAACCACATTCTTTTGCATTACAGTTCACACAATCTAATTCCAAAAAAAAAAAAAAAACTAAGAAACTTGCCTATCATAGTTTTAATGAAAAGAACAGAAAACAGAATGCATGATGCATACAAAAAGATAAAATGATATTACCTCTATTACTTCCTGAACTGACAGACTTTGAGTTTCTATTACCTGTATCCTTCTCTATCTCCAAAGGACAGCTTGACACCGGAGGATCATTTCCCCCAATGTAAACACCCTCATCAGCCAGGTCATTCTCTGGAAATCCAAAAGTGGAACAAAAAACCAGTTAGGAAGAAAAAATTAGTTCAGTAGAGGAGATATCAAGAAGGATTCGAAAGATAACCTTTTTCTTATTGCAAGGATGAATTACTAAGTCCAGATTTATTTTTTAGTTGTATCAAAAAATTTCCCAAAACACAAACAAAAATAAATCAAATTCAGAAACATGAAGAAATTGAAGCATCAAAAGAAAGCAATGCTCTATGTTGGTCAAATTCCTTATTTTTTCTTGAAGTACCCATGTCAGACACTAATGTTCGACACATGGAAATGGGGATCAAAAGGTACCTATTTTCATAATTTATATGGTGAAGAGACTTACCTCAATTTCACAAGGTTTAACTCTTGATTGGTTTTTGTGTTTCTCTTGCAAATAGTCATCTAAAAGCTTCCTCAATGTGAACAAGGTATCATCACCGTCAATATCGATCTCAATCTCTTCTCCAGGTTCTGTTCCACTTGAACCGCGTTCCTTTCAGAAATCAATGATATGCAGAGGCATTTCAGCAAGCAAAGATTCCAGTGCTCTACCTAGATTGTTTTTTTCCTCATCTGTCAATCTCTTCACAGGTCCCAATATAACTTCTTGGGTCACTGAAGTTGTCTTCCTCTTTTTAACAGGAGGCATTTTCTTAGATGTTTTTATATCCTCGACAAGAGCTTTACTTTGCACCAGAGGAGCACCAGTTATGGTAACTTCTTCTCAATATTTTTCCACCTCACTTCAAAAAACTTGTTAAAGGTATCAGTCATAACATGGACATTATTTTTAGGGGGGATATAGGGCATTGCATTGCTGAAAGGAAGCTTAACATCAGCATGAAGCTCCAGGGGCCTATCATATGCACCAGATGCTATCTTCTTTTTTAACTATTCCTAGATCCATCGGGTGCTTAATAACATTAAAAGTAATCTGGAATATTCAGCTTCACTATATCTACTGGTTTGTTGAAGGCCCACCCATACTGATGGCTCATCAATCGCTTTAGAAGACCTTCACACTGTTTCATCAATATAATATGTGTAGTGTTTGCTGCAGATGCATGTTTTGCAGACTCAAATCTTCCTGAAACATCCCGACTAGACTTGCGTGCCTTTTCACTTGAAAGATTATTTCCGTTCTCCAGACAAAAAGATATGGACGATTTCTGAAAATCCAGTTCATGAGGTCAATTTTGTCCATTGCTGCTGCAACTAAGAATATCAAAAGAAGTTGACACAGAAATGCCATTTGTCCTTTGCAATTCAACTTTCTTCTGAAGCATCCGTATCTGCTCTAATTCACGACTCAACCTATGTATCAAATCCTTTCTTTTAGACTGCGACATATTTGGCAGGGAAATCACTTGTCTAGAGACACCAAATGTGTGACCATTAACAAGATCCAAACCGATACATTTCCTAATTGAAGCGCTTGAATTTTCTGGAGTAGCGATTTCATTATCAATTCGTCCGGAGTTGCCAGATCCCTTTGATTCACCAGGAGGCTCATATGGGCCACAATAATAACCCCAACAAACCTATCACTCTTTGCCAACATCTTGACCAAAGCACCCTTTTCTTACTTCCCTTTATTCACTGCAATTGATCTTCTGTTTAATCATTAATCTATAAATACATCAACCATAGGAGCAAAATTATCCCATATGATTTCAAGAACTACCCACCATTGGAGCACAACAATGGTCAAATTTTGGTTTCTAAGCAAAGTTAGATTCGCTCATTGATGCATTTCTCTAAATATTGAAATCTTTAACCTTGAATTCAACTACTCATCTTCCAAAGGACCCAACTTCACCCAATTAGAAATTAGAGAACATTAATAGGACCCTGAATTCTACCATTCCGCATGAATATACTCAGATTATGCAGAAGATTACATGGTTAGTAATTGAACTAATCTATCGTTGAATGAAATGAGCTCTTACATGAACCCAAATCCTGAAACTTTTTGATAATTTGTTTTCTTATCTAAACTACACATCTTTAATCCACCCGCCACCAATTCATCACATTAGACCTTATAAAACACTAAAAAACAATCCAAAATTCACTTTTAATCATTTTCGATCATGCATGTACATTAAAGTTGCAAGATAAAGAGGGAAAAAAAAAGCTTACGTGATCTATATTTGGAAATTTATGGTAATATTTACTAGTTCAAGACTAATCCAATAATAAAACCCCTTTCCCTTAAAACCTTAAACCTGGATAAGAAAACAAATTCTAAACCCAAAAAGAATTACCTGTCTGTCACTTCTCATTCGCTGTCCCTCGAATCTCTAAAACTCAAATTCAATTCTCGAATCTTTTCAACGACCAAGTAAAAAAATATAAACAAGAAAAACCCTGAACAAATCAAAGATTAATATTTGTGAAAATATATTAATCTTTTTAAGTGGAATTCTTCTAAAATTCAGATCACGAGCTTTAGAAAACACAATACGATAATAAAATGCCAATGAGAATAGTGAAAGAGTTGGCTTTTTGGAATTTTCGGTTGTTCTTTCTCTCTAGTTCAAATTGTGTCTCGCTTAATACTGACTGACCTTTGGATTCATGACGAAGAGTGATCGGGCGGTTATATTTTATTTTGATATCAACCTTTCGTTAATTGACGTGTTGTTTTAGCTAGCACACATTAATTACGCGGGGTTTGTTAGGAGCGGAGATAGAGTAATGCTTGTGAGGGTGGTTCGATCACGGTACGATCTTATTGGAGGGATTTTAAGTTTAAATGATGACGTGGTGAATTTTAATTGGATATATTATCAGAGTAAAGTTGGGTTTTTCAAGATTGCGTCCGGAAGTTTCTAGATACTTGCACCATCAATCATCCACCCTTAACACCATCTGACTTGTGGGAGGTGATGACGAGGACAATGCTCATTTTACTTAAATATTTTTATGTACTATTATTGTTAAGAAAATGTGGGTGTAAATTTTTCCAATATTACAATCGGATTATTTTTCTTCAAAATATAACACATTCTAATTTATTTTTCAATTTATGATATTTTAAACAGTAAATTGAAAGGTGGTTTCAGTGAAACTCGTTTTTATTGTTCAAATTAATTTTTGAATAATAAATTTGAGACTATTGATAGATAAGCTATCTTCACTGGTCACAAAAACATTTACAGTGTAGACGGTAGGAATACAATCCCTCTTCATTGTTCATCTAGAAAAAGCTACAATCTCTAAGAAAAATGAGAGACGGTTGGTATACAACCTATCTCCACTGTTCACAAAAAGATATACTGTAGACGATGATAATACAACATGTTTTCATTGTTCATCTAAAAAATTTACAATATAGACAGTTGGAATAAAACCCGTCCTCACTGTTCATGTAAATAATTGTTTAATTCAAAGGGAGCAGACAACAACATGAGGCAACGACAGCATGGGGCAGCAGTCAACAGGGACAACGACAACAGGTAGGTGAGGGCATGCATGAGTCATTGGAAATTTAAAAGGTTGGTGGATTGAATGGTTTTTGATTGATGGATAAATATGTGGTTGAAATTTAATTTTTTTGTGTTAAATAGGAGAAATTGATTGAAGTTAAAATTAAAAGAGAAAAATTTAGAAAAAAATTGTAAAAGAATAAGAATGAGAAGAAGCGAAAACAATGAGAAAAAAATAGTAAGTAATTGTATATTTTTTAATTAAATAATATTATATCATTAATTTTATTTTTAGTTTTTAACTTATATATTATAGTTAATTTGATCGTTGATGAATATTAATATAATTTTTAATATTATGCATGTAATTTGAGAAGAAAGAAAAAAATTTAAAAGAAGAAGGAAGAAGAAGGAGAACATATTAGTAAGTAGATGTATAATTTTTTTTTATTAAGTAATATTATATCATTAATTTTATTTTTAATTTTTAAATTATATATTAGGGTTTATTTAATTGTTGATGAATGTTAATATAAGTTTAATATTATGCATGTAATTTGAGAAGATTTGGGACAAAAAGAAAGAAGAGTAAAGAAAATTTAGAAAAAATTTGGTGAAATTTGTTTGAGCAAAATGTAAGTAGATTTAATATTTTAATATTTTATATATTTATGTAGAAAATTTTTGCTTGTTATATTTTATTATTTAGTTAGATATATATATATATATATATGATTTAGTGGTTTATTTTTTAAATTTAATTTTAAAGTATTTTATTGTTTTTAATATAATATTATACAAGTAATTTTGAGAAGATTTAGAGAACAAGGATAAGTAATATTTAAAACAAGTTTTGGCTAACATAAAAAAATTAATTTATATAAATTTTAATTTTTTTTAAAAAAAAGACAGAGCAACAAAATTAAATTTGAATAAAAAATTTATCTATTTTTTTTTTAATTTCAACTTACTTAAAATTAGATTATTAGACCATTAGAAATAAAAAGTATATAAGATAAGATAATATATAGATAATGTTTTGTATTTTAAATGGATGAAGATTAATTTTTATTTTATTAAACCTTTAGGGATTAAGTGTGTACTTTAATTCACTTTTTCCGAATATTTTTATATAATAAAATAATGATAAAATATTTTTAAAATTTAGATTCGAATATTTTATCCTCGATTTTAATAAAAGAAGTTCTGGAATTTAAATTTAAATTTCATGAGATAGAATTGTCAGTGATTTATTAATTAATGATCGTTAATTAATATAACTTAGAGTCAAAAAAAGAAGGAGATTTAAAGCAAATTGGGTAAAATTATTTGTAGCACCAAACTGTAAAATAGTAAGTATGATTTTTAATATTTTAATTTAAGTAATATAAATATTTATATTTTTAATTAAATATGTTATAATTAATTAATTTAATTTAACCCTTTTTATTTTTATTATTATAAATATTTGTTAATTATTACTAATATTTTATAAAAATATTGATATTTATCATGTGTAGTTGGAAGTTGTTAAAAGGATAACAACTCAACCTTCTCTGTTGAGATTACAAAATGAACACATCTAGTAATCTGGTTCACACACAAGATTATATTTGAAGATTGACAATATTAGTGTTCTTGTATCGTGAGTTGTGCAAGGCATCTGTGTTAGAAAATTGTTAAAAGAGAATGAGCGTTAATGGATTCCTACTGTTATTGCAAGCGCAATCTTGACAACAACCACCATTTTTTACACCGATTACCCAAAGTTTGATTCGTTTTCCTCTTATTGGAAGATAATATTTTGATTATAATTTAAAATTTGTTTACTTTATTTTAAAAATATCTTTATCTAAAGGAAAAAATAATCAAATGAATGTTAGTTTTGCTTTTTTTTGTGTGCAAATGGTGTGAGAAAAAACAAGGCAGGAAGTTAGTGCCCAACAATCTCAGAGTATTTAAATCGATGGTTGATTTATTGTAAAGATCATGTACATGAATGAAAAATTAATTTCAAATATTATTTATTTATAATTTATTCTGATGTGTAATCATTTATATATAATTTTTACAGTTTATTTGGAGGCCATATGAAAATGATGACATATTGGCAGATGTACCAAATTATTTGATAGTGGATTTTAATCTCTGGTGTACTGTTACACCAATTATTCACTTTTGTCTTATCGAGTTCCAGTTTGGAGATAGGGTGCTGAGGCATTTTGGCTTCCTCCAGTCCATTCCACAAATTTCACGTAATCATGATTATCTCCATGATATAGACGGACGGGGTAGGTCCGATGATAATTGGGAAGTCATACATGGTGACTATATTGATATATGGAACGACATAGCTTTATCGTTCTCATATCGTACTCCCATTGAACATGACATTTTTTATTAGGAAAATTCAGAGTACATAATTTATTATCTTGTTAATGGAAGACCTGCTTGACAACGATCGAAGAATGGGAAGAATATCGTAACTATAAAAATATAAATATGGTGGTCGCAATGAATCATCTACGAGTGGAGTAAGAACATATTAGAGTGAAGCGATATCATCTCAGAATGAAGCCGTAAGAAGACAATATACTTCAAGCGCTTGGTCACATGCGTGGGGAGAGGATCTTGTAGTGTTGGTGGTCATATGGGAAAATGATCCAATAATTGGAGGAAACTCATCACACTGTCAAAGTTTTGATGATCCTGAAGCATACAAACCCAAGTTTTATCTCCCATAGTCATCCATTTACTAGAATATTGGCGTTAACATGGATTTTCAGGGCATGAAATCTTTAATGTCTATATGTCGATTTACAGTCCCATGGGAGAGTAAAGTGGTGACCATTTTTTACAACAACGTCTCCTATGATGCAATGACTGATGAGGTGAACGATGATGAACAAGATCTCACTCAAATACAAAGGGAACAACAAGATCGGCATCCATCGAGACATTATTATTCCATGACACCCTAACGTGGACAAAAATTATGAAAAAATGATTTCATATACTTATAGTGTTTTTAATGAATGAAATACATTTGAATATTGTTTTTTGTTATTAAAGTTTTAATTTTAACATTTCAGGTTTACTAATACTAACCATAATTTGAGTCACATATCAAATATTAAAATACAAAATGTTCAAGTACAAATAGTTTAAATATCAAAATATTAAAATGTATTGAACCTATATTTTGATATAACAATTTAAGAGCAAAATATTTTTGGACTTGATTGAATTTGTTCAAATGGTTCAAAAATAATTCAAAGTCCAAATTAATTTGAAAAAT